ACTGGGTAGAGTATGTAGGAGGTGAGAAAGCTATTGAAATAAGACAAGTTAGAAGTATTCCAGCAGGAAAGAACAATATTATTGAAGAACTTTAATGTTTTGAGGTATAATGATGAAACAAAGAAGCAAGATAGTTTTCCTGTTGCTGTGTATGTGAACCTAGACACAGGAGATGACATGAAAGTTTTTAACACAAAGCTTCAAACGGTAGTGAGAGAACAACTGACTGCGGAAGGACATCCATTACCTTCAGAAGTTACCAATAGTATATAATTTTGAAACAAATGCAATAGATTTTAAAGTCGTCTCTGCAAAGAAGTCAGGTTTTACATTTAATGAAGCAGATGTATATTCGAATGAAAACTTCAAAGCTATTGCATGGTTAGATAATGACGATTGCTTTAAGAAAATATTTAAATTCAGTGACTCAAAGATGTCAATAGATGACCTTCGTGGAATGTTACCATCGACGTTTACAGTAGAAGGTTCAGCAGGATTGCTTAAAAGATTGTCAATTGTGGTATTTGGTCTCGTGAGAACATTGTTATAAAATCCAGTATAAGTGAATTTGCTGAAGAATCTATATTATGTCTTTCAAACTACATGTATTCGCCGCCGAAGCATTATAGTATAAACAACTTTGTCAGTAAGTTTAACATAAGACTTGTCGAACCTTCTTCAATGAAAGATGTTGTGCTACCTAAAGACGGAAAGGATGGACTCATTATTGAGATGATTTTAATAGCATATTAAATGAGCTTGTTCTTGAAGGTCATTCATGATGAAATAACTGTTTGTAGAAGATGTAGCAATTGTTCAGACATTTTGAAGCGTATAGATGAGATAAGAAAGAAGTTTATGAATGAGAATGTTTATGTTTCATTGACTTTCTCCAGTAACGAGAACTTTTATGAGATAATATTGAAGAGAGATGATTTTAATATGGTGTAAATGGTAGCTTGGACAGCTTTAGGCGCAATGGGAACAAAAGCATTAGCATTTGGAGCAAAAGCACTTGGGGCTTATGACGCAGTAAATAAAATGAGTGGAGGAAGGGTTTCGAAGACATTAGATGCAAATAAAGGGAAGATTGGAGGCTGGGTGCAAAGAAGTTAAGATTAAATAAAATAGGGCTCATAAATAAAGCATCCAATTTGGTTGCGACTGAGTCAGAAAATGCTTTAGGAAAGGACGATGAGTTTGCAAAACACGCAAAAGACTTTAATGACCAGATGAAAGGTGAAACAATGCATTTAAATAGATTCGATGGAACTAAAGAAAATGTTTCTTCTCCACCAGTAGTTCTTCCGTATGGTCCCTATGGAATGTATGGAAATCCTTACGAAAGACCATTTGACCCATTGACTGGTGGAAGTAACTGTATCATTACGGACGAAGAAGAAAGACAGTCAAGTTGGAGACAGACGTGAAGAAAGCAACTAAAAAGAAACCAAGGAAGAGAGTTATAAAGCATGAATTCAACAGGTTAGAAATGAGGTTAGAAACGTGTTGATCTAACATTCTACATAAACATATTTTTGTGCTATGTTTCATACGTGTGAGGTGGTGATATCATTAATTTTTAAGTTTATTTTTTATTTTATTTTTATTTTATTTGGATGTAATGACAGAACAAAAGCAACTCATACAAATCAAAACATATAACAAACATACATTTAAACATTTATTCTTCCTTCCTGAGCATAACATGTTCTTTCAAATACATCCGAGACCAGTTGACTTTTCATTGACTGTGTATAAAGATAGAAATAGTTATATCATTAAACCATACGATGACGAAGGTAAGTTATGTAAATTGTACGTTAAGAAGTTAGAGAAAGTTTATGGCTTCAAGTATGACTACAATAGGGTTAACACTGATGATGAAGATATTGAGGAAAATTTATGAGAACATTAGTGAAGTCGTTAGTGAGAACGATAGTGAGAACGTTTATTTTTACATTAGTGAGTTCGTTAGTGAGTGAGTGGTTGGCGGCTTTGTAAATATTTAAGGTTAAATTAGTTTTTGCGTTCATGTTGTAAAATATACGTTAACGGTTTTGTAAAGTGTCAAATTCACAAGTATTGGGTAAGGTGGAACGCAGTGCCACCATACCCAAGACTAGTATACTAACTATTATCTCCTTTTGTATTACTTGTTTTAGGTGCTTGGGTCTGTGTCTGTGTTGGCATTACTGTTGGTATAGGTGTTGGTATTTCTTTTGGTATTGGTAAAGGTTCTACATCTAGCTCTGGTGTTGATATCGATGATTCTGATTCCATTGAGGAAGTTGATGTCGATGATTCTGATGATGTTGATGATATCGATGATTCTGATTCCGTTGATGATTCTATTGATGTTGAGGAAGTTGAAGATTCTGTTGATGTTGATGATTCTGTTTCTGTTGATGAAGTTGATGATTCTGTTTCTGTTGATGAAGTTGATGATTCTGTTGATGTTGATGATTCTGTTTCTGTTGATGAAGTTAATGTTGATGATTCTGTTGAGGAAGTTGATGTTGATGATGTTGAAGATTCTGTTGATGTTGATATTGAAGAAGTTGATGTTGATGATTCTGTTGATGTTGATGATTCTGTTTCTGTTGAGGAAGTTGAAGTCGATGATTCTGTTGATGTTGATGATTCTGTTTCTGTTGAGGAAGTTGATGCTGATGATTCCGGCTGTTCCGGAATTATCAAAATTTCTTTTGAAATGTTCACTGTTTGATTTGAACTATCCATTGCATAAATATAAATTGTTGCAATTTTATTAATATGCGTTTCTCCAAATTTGTACGTAAATTCGTGTTCAAATACATGATTTGTTAAATTGACTTTTTTGAACTTGGATTTATTATCGTTAATTCCCATAGCAACCATAAGGCTGTCATCATCTGGATCTGAAATTCTCGCCATAATTGAAAGATTCTTATTGACTTCATACCGATCTGGGACTTCACCTAAAAATTCCAATTGAACTTTATTGTTAATTACTTGAACAATAATAGATTTTATGATTGAAGAAACATCTCCGTATTTGGCAAAAATCGACACATTGTAATATGCATTATCTCTTTCAGGAACTTCAATAAAACCATTGAATTCTTGTTTAACTAATTCGTGTGTTGTAGATGTTCGCATTGACCCTAACACTCCGGTTGAAATAAGAGATGACGATTCATTATATATTTCATATATTGCCTCAACTGTCTTGTTTGCAAGAGCAAGACCAATTGTTCCATTGATGGTTATATTATCCGCATGATTGATAATTAATGTTTCATTTTGAGGTTCAAAAAGTTCAAGTGTTGGTTTTTGATGAACTATTGAAACTGTATGATTTAGAGAAACCTCACTAGCAGAATCGCTGACATTTAGATAAATTGTTATCACATGTCCGCCTAAACTACTACTCGGAGTGATTGATATATCATAAATCATTGATTTTTCTGTCTTTAATATTGTTTCTACCCCAGAAGTTGTATCGTTGAATCCTTTAGTTAATGTAAGGTTGTTATCATCAGGATCAGTAATATTAACTTGGAATATATAATTGATACCTGTTTCAAGTACAGTTGGAGTATCTCCGATAAACTCTAACTTGATCTTTTCATTCAAAACAAAAAATTCTTTTATGATTTCATCAGATGAAACATCATCACATTCTGCTTTAAGAATGAGTTTGTAAACAAATTCATGTTCTGGGATTGAAATATTGAAAATGAGGATTTTGGTTTTCTCAGTTTCTGTAGTTGTAAACGATCCCATATCACCTTTGAGAACAACTTCATTTGTTTTATTGTTTCTAATTTCATACTTGGCTGTGACCTCTTTGCCATTGAGATCAATGCCATATGATGCATTAATATTAATTTCTTGATCATGGTAATAATATTCATCAATGTCATCTGTGTTGAGAATGAAAGTTGGCAGTGGTGAAGATCCAGTAACCACTGATATAGTCTTTGATATATTAACAGTTTGATCTGAACTATCTTTTGCATAAATTGTTATTGTAACTTGTTTATTTAATTTATCACTACTAAACTTGAATTTGAAATCCTTTTCGAGATAATGATTGTCTAATCTAACTTCTGAATATTCAGGATCAACACTGTCTATTCCTGTTCCAATCTTAACTGTTTCATCATCTGAATAATTTATTTTTACTTTGATAGTATATTCCCTATTAACTTCGAATGAATCAGAAACTTCATCAACGAAATCAAGTTGTATTCCAGAATTACTATTGGGATCTTCAACATCAATGCTATATTTAACAGATGTTGAATTATATTCCCCTTGCTTTGCATATAATTTAAGTGTATATTTTCCCGCTGTTGAAGGAAGTGCTATATTTGAAGTAAACGATTTGTATTTTTTATTGGAAGCTGTTTTGAATGTGTCAATTTCTTTTGTATCGACTACTTCACCCTTAAAATTGATAAATTCATAAAATGCCTTTAGTGTTTTTTGTGCAACCTTGTATTCATATTTTGCACTAACTGGAATTTTTTGGTTAATATTAAATTTGGATTCAACCTTTGTAGTACCAAGAATTTCGAATTTTGGTGCCTGGTAATCTCCTTTATATAGATAATAAATTACCTTTGTCGGTGTATCTGGAGCTAAATTTACATTCCAAAAGAGATTAAGTTGTTCATATTGCGTTGAAGGAGATGGATTACTATTTTTTGTGAATAAGTTATTAGTCCCAGATGCATCTTTTTTTCCATATCCAAATCCATCGTTGTTTGTAACATCATCAAAACCCTCTAAAAGAAGTGAATAAGTTTTAGAATTAGCACTTAAAGTCATGCCATAATTAACCATTGAAATAGTAAACGTTTCACTTCCACCAATTATTGCATCTAATCTAAAACCATATAAAATGTTTTTATATTCTTTGGTAGAAGAAATTTCTGTAATAATTTTTATAAAATCTGGATTATTGTTAACTTTCTCATAACTAAATTTTGTCGTGATTGGATGATTTTTGCTTACTTGTGAAGAATACATAACGCTCTTACATAAACGTTTAAGTCTGTTATTTCAGATATAGAATGTGTATGTCCAACGGCACTTTTCCTGTTTAAGGTTTCTTGTAAGTTTGTAATATTTGCAATGGTATGTGTATGGTTCTTGTCTGCTTTCTTTTCAAGGCTAACGTTTAAGTCTGTTATTTCAGATATAGAATGTGTATGTCCAACGGCACTTTTCCTGTTTAAGGTTTCTTGTAAGTTTGTAATATTTGCAATGGTATGTGTATGTCCAACGGCACTTTTACTGTTTAAGGTTTCTTGTAAGTTTGTAATATTTGCAATGGTATGTGTATGTCCAACGGCACTTTTACTGTTTAAGGTTTCTTGTAAGTCTGTTATTTCAGATATAGAATGTGTATGAGTCTTTTTAGAATATTCGTTTTCAGCTCTCGTCACTTCACTTGACATTTTATTGTCAACATATGTTTTGTCTGCTAGTTCAGGATGAGTATGTTCTTTTGTTGCATAAGCATTGTTAGCTCTTTCTTCTTCTTTTGCTATTGCATCGTCTACATATTCTTTGTCAGCTTTGTTGTCAACATCTGTTTTCAAAAGAAGTTCATTTATAGGTTTCTCGTTTAAAGTTCCTTTTGTTGGATTTATACAGACAGTATGGTTCTTATTGTCTTGAAACAGAAACTCATCTGTCATTGGGTTTATTGTCAGTTTTAAGTTTCCTTCTTTCAATGACTCAGATATCTTAGAATAGTTTGAAAAGTTTGTTGTGTTCTTATTTAGAGCTTGCATAATGAGTTGTCGGTTGTGTTGTATTTCTCTCATAGACGCTGTTTCATTTGACATTTTTATTCTAGATAAAATATGCTTCCAATAGAAAAAGAAAATTCAAGAGTTGCTACAACTAAACCATTAGATGAACTTTTTACTAATGTCGGTCAAAAGTTTGAGACAGAGACCGTAAAGCATGAAGGCTATCGTTTTGACTACCCATTAAGATGGCTAAGAGACCCATCTGTCACAAAAGCTATTGGCTTTCGTAGAATGAAGTTCATTTCAGAAGCCATACATGGTTTCCCATTTACGGTCGGTTTTGAAGTTCGATACTATAACAAAGAAAAACGTATGTATGAGAAATTTGAACAGGGAAAACTTTTACAAGTTAGTTTGCTTGTAAACTTAGAAACAACTCTTCAAGCTTTTCAAGAAAAAATAAACGATATCTATATCGAATATGCAAAACAGTATAACATTGACGAAGGAAAATACCATCTCGATATTATTTATGTTATATACGAAAATGATAAAAACAGTTTGACAGAAAAGTGACAACTTTACGTGTCAAAAATAGAAAAAGTGACATTTTATTCGTAATATTAAAATGAATCATCATAATCTTCTTCATAAGGATCTTCATAATCTTCTTGATATTCTTCTTCATAATTTACTTCGTATTCTTCTTCTTCATTACTATCTTCTTCTATTTCAACCGGATTCGCCTTATTTTCTTCTTCTTCAACTTCCTCGCCTTCTTTTTCCCATTCATCTTCTTCGATTCCTTGGAGCTCTGGCATCTCATTGGCCATAAGTGAACCTGGAAGAAAATCTTGAGAGACTCCATCCACAATCCATTTTGCCGGCATTCCCCTCTTCCAAATTGGAAGTTTCTTCCACATTTCAGATGGGCTATAGTGAATTTTTTTTCCATTCACATAATGAGTTGGTAATGCTAGATGAGGTTTAGAATTATAGTACTCAACCCATTGTTGAATCTTTGCCCATGACAACTCTCTGCTCTCTATGTTAGGCCACAAGCGCTCGATTTTCCCATTTTGGTATGGGCAATGGGGGACAATATATACATTATTGATCCCCCGAACCCTCATAGCTTTTAGGAACTCGCCTTTATTCTCGCCGCCATTATCGGACCAAATTGTATGTGGTGGTCCATAACGGGCTATTGCTCTCTTAATTACTTTCACTGTTTGGCTAGCATGTTTTGACGAAAGATGCTGCCATTCTATGATGAGCCTTGTGCAGTCATCAATCACAGCATAAAGAATCTGACTTCTCTTTTTGCCAAGAAAGTTATGATTAGGAAAAGTCAGATTTGGTTAGGAAAGGCAGCTAAGTATCTTGTCTTTCCTTTTGGCCGATAGGGTCCCCTTGGACGTGCCAAGCCTAGCTCTCTAAAAGCTCTTTCTACCATATGTCTTGAGGGAGATGTGGAAGAGGGTTTGTAAGATATTTAATGTTCCTCAGCTCAGATGGAAATGATAATGGAGACTCTTCAATCATAAGTCCGGAAGGAATTGTGGAAGAAATTTGATTCAGGGGCTTAAAACGTTCAATAGCGGAGAACCATGCTTGGGTAGGCGTTGGCTGTGGAACAATACCCGTCTTCATGTCCAAAAATGCCTCAAAATGAGATTTGGCATATTCGATATCTTTATTTATTTGGTTATAGGCGGAGATTATTCCAAGATGGCCATGCTGCTCAATTAGGTTTCTAATAGTTACCTTAAGATCTTTTGGTACATTAACTTTGGGTCTCCCGCGCTTAAGGGGAATAGACACAGATGGGTGAGGCTGAGGCTGAGTATTGGCAGAGAGCTGTTGCTGTGGGGGAGTGTTGGCAGAGAGTTGTTGCTGTGCCGAGGTGTTGGCAGAGAGCTGGCGTTGAAGAGGAGTATTGGCAGAGAGTTGGCGTTGAAGAGGAGTGTTGGCAGAGAGTTGTTGCTGTGGAAGAGAGTTGGCAGAGAGCTGGCGTTGTGGGGGAGTGTTGGCAGAGAGTTGTTGCTGTGCCGAGGTGTTGGCAGAGAGCTGGCGTTGAAGATGAGTGTTGGCAGAGAGCTGGCGTTGAAGATGAGTGTTGGCAGAGAGCTGGCGTTGTGTCTGGGTGTTGGCAGAGAGCTGGAGTTGTGTCTGGGTGTTGGCAGAGAGTTGTTGCTGTGCCGAGGTGTTGGCAGAGAGCTGGCGTTGAAGATGAGTGTTGGCAGAGAGCTGGCGTTGAAGATGAGTGTTGGCAGAGAGCTGGCGTTGTGTCTGGGTGTTGGCAGAGAGCTGGAGTTGTGTCTGGGTGTTGGCAGAGAGTTGTTGCTGTGGAAGAGAGTTGGCAGAGAGCTGGCGTTGTGTCTGGGTGTTGGCAGAGAGTTGTTGCTGTGGAAGAGAGTTGGCAGAGAGCTGGCGTTGTGGGGGAGTGCTGGCAGAGAGTTGTGGCTGTGGGGGAGTGTTGGTACTGCTGGCTAATGAAAGCTGGCGTTGAAGAGGAGCGTTGGCAGAGAGCTGGCGTTGTGGCTGGGTGTTGGCAGAAAGTGGGCTTTGTAGAGGAGCGTTGGCTGTTGAGAGCTGTTGCTGTGGAACAGAGTTGGTAGTGCTGGCTGATGAAAGCTGGCGTTGTAGAGGAGTGCTGGCTGATGAGGGTTCTTCCTGTATACGAGAGTCGTTTGAACTTTGTAATATCAAATAATCGGTAAGGAGAGTGTCATCTCTGTGTTTCAAAATGGATGAACACTCGTAGAGTCGATTATTATATTTAATGTAGAAAGTAGTAAACTCTTGAAGTTTGTATGTATGATGTAAGTACTCTTCAATAGTAATTAGTCTATTACATAAGAGAGCTTTGTAAAATGTTATCTTGTTAATTGATGAACGAAAATGGAACATTTGTGAGAACAATGGCTAACGGTGTGCGCCTTTGAATCTGTGCTAGAGCTGTTTCAAGCCAAGCTGAATCAACTAATGTGTACAAATTCATTTTAAACAAATTTGAAATGAAATAATTTGTGAGAATTTGAGAATAATTTAATTATTTCAGAAGTCTATATTGAAAAAATATTCTTAACAAAATTAATTTAAATGGTTCAGAAAATAAAAAATTAAAATTAATGGAAAAACATGATTAGGAATAATTAACAATAATAAATATCATGGTTTTGGATTATTTAAACAGCTATAAAAGAACGAATTTTACAAATTACGATAAAAAAATTATTGAAAAATAATGAAGAGGATAAGGATTTGAATCGAAAATTAAAAGGATGATTATGTGTCAAATTAAATTAAAATAAAAATTTTAGAAGATTTAGACAAGAAATAGTGCAAAGAATTAGAATTAACATAAAAATCGAAAATTTAATAAAGGAGAGATAAAATTATTGTAGTATTCAATTGAAAAATTTTATAAAATAAGGAATATTGGTAAACAAATAAGTTTCATCTAAAAAAAGGAAAATAAAAATATAAAAATTGAAATAAAAACAGAAATATAAAATATTTTTAAAATGCAAAAAAGTTTCATACTAATCGTTTTTGTATAATATTTATCATTGAAAGATTATTGAAAGATATTTTGAAAGAAATCGAAAAAGTTAAGAAATATTGAGAAGAAGGACAATTGAATGAATTTTTGGCCGATTGTGCTATGCAAAGTTGATGATAATTGCAGGAAATTTTGAGATTTTCGAGGTTTTGGAGGGTGTGAGTACTATTATATGTAATAGTATCTCACACCCTCCAATTCATCCTATGGCGTCGAGAAAATTTTGGTGAAATGTCGTCGCATTTCACCAAAATTTCTCGGCGCCATATAGAGAACTAGAGTCTGCGAGGTACTGATTCTATCTATGTACCTCGCAGACCCTAGTTCTCAGCCAAAATGGCTAAAAATTGCTCGCAATTGTTTGCCATGTAAACTGTCACTTTTTGAGGAGATTTGACATTCTGTCAAATCTCCTTTTTTCGTATATAAGATTTATGACAGGAAAAATGCAACTGTTAAAATCAATAGAATAGAAGACCTTGGAGAAAACGTTTATATTTCTACAAAATATAACAACTTGGCATGGTATAGATTTATGAGGATGTTAAATCAGCCTGCAGCATATCCAGTACACCCAGACTTTTATGAAGTCGAAAACCCTAATGGAACATATGAAAATGTTTTCGACCAAGATGCTATTATTGTTCATGCTTCATTTTCTGGCGCCCAAAACTCTTTCTTATGCTTGGCAAATGACTTTTACGAAAAACCTACAAAGTTATACGAACCACCAAGTGGAAGTATTTCAGACTTTCAAGTATGGTTTACTACAGATGGAAGAAAAAGAATAATTCCATTATACCATGCGTTTTACTTAGAACTTAGTTTCATATACAACTACTATCGAACGGTAAAAATATAATTTTTTAATACGGTTGAGGTGTTGGATTTGGTTGCCAACTAGACTGTGGTGCAGGTTCAGGCTGTTGTATAACAGGAGCTTGCTCTTCTGGTTCAGGGTCTTTAGGTATAATACCAACGAACTGACCTACTCTTTTACCAATATTTTTGACTCCGTTCCAAATTCCTCTTCCTACGGTTTTTATTCCATTCCATATACCTCTTCCAACTCTTCTGAAGAAGTTTCCAATACTACTGAAGAAACCCATTTTACTATATGTAAAAATCTAATGTCCGCCTAGTCTCTTACGTTTCCTGTTGAGTTCCATAGCATTCTTTAACTGGAGCTCATACATTCTGTTTCTCCTCTGGTAGAAAACATATTCTGGGTCAACTCCTGTGTTCGCGTCATCTGCATAAAGTTGTTTATATCCCACTTCAGGGTTTGTATAAAACTCTTTCCATCTCATATTTGCATACCATGGTGGCAAACCTAACGCAGCGTCATTTGACATGGCAGTTTGCATTTGTACATCTGTTGGCACTTGACCATAGTTTGCCATTGCAGTTTGTATTCTAACTTCATTTGGAATATTCTCTGGGTTTGGTTGTCCAGGTTGCTGTGCATTCGCTAAGTTCTGTGCGTCCATTTAATATTAGATAAAAATATCTCTTACGAGTACATATACTGAACATTTGCAGGCATTGGTTCATCTTCATATTCTCTATATCTTTCTGCCACGTCAAAGAAATAAATGACACAATGGAAAAAACCTAAAACAAGTAGTCCTATTTCAAACCACATTTACTTACTAATAAAATTTCTTTGTTATGACACTTTCTCCGGTTTATAGGACCTCTCTCATATTCTATCTTGTCATATCTAAACTCATAGTCATGTATGTCCTCTAACCATCTCATAACGGTTTCCAAACCACTTTTATCGGATGTAAAGTAAAAGCATGGATGGTTATGTAAAACGTCTAAAGTTTCTAAAGAGTCTCTCAAAGTCCAGTCTACTTGGTATTGAAAATCCCATGTGTTATAGAACGGCGGGTCCACTATAAAGAAAACATTTTCCTTGTCTTTATATTTTTCATACAACTCTGTCCAATAACATCTCACAAACTCTATACCCTCAATATATTTTTCTATGTCCTCTTTGAAAACGTTTGTATAGTTAAGATATAAAACTTTTGACATAAGTGTTTCAATGTCATGAACTCTTATAGAACCACTATATAATAGTCTAGCAGATATACTATCCCAGTCTATATATTCTGCTTTTTTCAAAACCTCTCTCACAATATTTTTCTTATCTAATGGTATACGTTCCATCTTACCTATAGGTATCTTTTCTTTTAACTCTTTCAATATATTGTTTGTGTCTGGTATATGTTTGAGACGGTCCATATAGTTGTCGAAATCATTGCATATAATCTTTGAGTCTGGGAATATTGTATGACATAAATGGGATATATAGAAACTTCCACCGAACAAATCTACAAATGTTAGACCATTCGGTAGTTTCTTAAGTTCTCTCAATATAATATCTTTACATTTACTCTTATTTCCAAAGAACGGTAACGGTGGTTTTGTAAAATTCATTTATATATAATAATAAAAATGTTTTTTTCCTGAAAAGTGACAGAAAAGTGACAAAACATGAAAACATATATAATTTGTGAAAAGCGACACATTATATAATGTTTTCGACCCAGAAGAAGGCTTCTTCCCAGAAGCAATGGAGGAAGAAGAAGAGTCCTCCGAATTCACACCAGAAGACTAACAATTTTCCGAATAAAAACTTCATTTATACTAAACATCTTCGGGGCTAGAGGGCACAAAGTGCCTGGAAGCCCCACTACCTTTTTTTTTTAAATCTCACGTTTCTGCCATTAGCAACCCCTAAAATTTTTAGCTAATTTTGGGGCACATTATATTGATATTATGAGAGTATGTCAGAAAGTTGTAAGTATTTTCAATAAATAAATAAAATAAAAAAAATATATAAACCATTTTTAAAAAAAAACATAAAAAAATTTAAATTACTCAGTAATTTCTTCACCTTCAGCTTCAGCCTGTTCTTCAGCGTGCTTATTAGAGTACATGAACTTGGAAGCGTGGATGAAGAACTCAGGCGTCATGAACATATCTCTGAGTCCAGAAGCGTCTTCTCCATTCTTTTCCATGTTTGCGACTCTGTCAATTGTGTTGATTACAAAGTGAAGTCTCTGGTCAGAGATTGATGGTTTCAGTTTCTCTCTCTTGATTCTGTCGTAGATCTTCATCTGTGTCTCTAGGATGTCATCAGGTGTCAATCCAGCGTTAGAGATCTCTTTCTTCGGCAAATCCAATGCAACGATGTTTGGAATGTTGTCGAGAATTCCCTGCCAGAACTGGAATGTTCTGTCAAGACCACTCAAGTTCATTCCATCGATGCAAAGGTCGTTGAGCTGTGTCAACTGTTTGAGAACTCCTGCAAGAACTGTTGCGCCATTGTCGCCAATGTTTGAGTTCTTTATTGCCAATCTTCTCAACCATGTCATTGATGAAAGAGAATTGATGTACTGTGTGAACAATGTTGTGTCCCAGTTGCCAGAAAGATCGAGACCTGGGATGTGCAACAAGTTCGTAAGTGTGGATGTGTCTCTGAGGAATTGGACTGGATCTGATGGCGTCATGTCTTCGAATCTGAGTAATTTCAGGTTTGTCTGGGTGGCGAGGAGCTGGAAGAAGTATCTGGACTCTTCAACGGGCATCCTGTTGCCGGACCAGTCGAGTTCGAAGATGTTTGGAAGACACGATTGTGGATTTATCGATTCGAGGGCCTTGTAAGCATTCTCCTTGATCTGGAGGTTGTGCATCTGAAGAGAAAGTGGATATTGTCTCTTCTTTGTAAGGATAAGCGACAAAATGGTGGAGAATGAGCCTGGCGACATGATATTTGTGGAAATAGAAAGGCCAATAAGCTTTTCTGGTAATGTAAGATCGTCTGGAAGGTTGTTGCGGAACTGCATGTGTGTAATATGGAGATTACGGATTGTTGCATTTGCTTTGCAAAGAGCTGTAAGGAGTTCTGCGCCGTTGACGTCAATGCCGCAGATAATGAGGTTCTGGAGGTTCTGGAGCTTGTTAATCATTGACATAAATGGCTGGAATGGGAATGGTTTCATCTGGCATCTGATTAACTGGAAAGTTTCGAGCTGCTGGATGGATTGGGTGACGTCGATGAGGTTGGAAAGCTCAGTGACGTTCTCTTTTGTGAGTTTGGAGGTTGCAAGAATGAATTCTTTGACTGGAACTTGCATAAACTTGGAGAACTCAATGAATTTGCGAACCATGGCGAAGGATGAACGGAGAATCCACCACTGGTTGATTGTAGTAGCAGCAATTGTGTTTGTTGGGAATTGAGGAAGATGATCTTCATTATTGTAGTCGGAGAAGGCGATTCTATCAATTGTGCTTGCTGTTTCGAGAATGGATAAGATCATTCTAGCGAATTGTGTTGGGGCAAGTGTCTGGAAGCAAACTGTATCAATCATCGTTTCCCAGCCGATTGCGTGGCCGAAAGCGGCGCCGAAATTACCTGGGTGGAAGGACGGGCCAAGGACAAGACGTTTGGCCTTCTTGTTCTCCCACTTATCGAAGTATGTCATTGTATCTAACTGATTACCTCTGATATCGTAGAAGTGGGCCAAGAAAAGTGCACGCCAGCGAATAGCCTGTGGAATACGTTTGCTGACAACGATTTGTGGTAAAGCAAAGTCTCCATGAACTTCAAATGGCTTGTATGTTGAAACACCGAAGGTAAGTTCCTTAAGGACTGTCATGATGGCCATGTAGATTTGAATGGCATACTTTGAGCTGATTTCGCCATTGAAATGGTCGAATTCAATAATGATATTATCTGTTGACACTCTCATTCCTCTGAAATCAAGAATGTGAACCTTTCTGTCGAAAACAACTGGATTCATGAATTTGGATTTGAAGAAGTAAACAGCGCCGCGTGTGATCATAACGTGGCCGGCTCTGAGAGATTTCTTGGTTTCAACCATCTTATAGTCACATGGGACGCAGACAATTGGCTCTTCAAGTGGAGACCAAACTTCGTTCACCATTAAAAGCTGCTTCTTCTGATCAACTTGAATACAGGGAAGGGTGTACGACATGAGTGATGTAAGTTTGTGAAGCGGTTTTGAAAACTCAAAAGTATTTATAATTTATAAAAATATTGTATACATATAGATCTTTATTTTTACGAGCTCTGTCTGAAAAAATAATTCAGAACAATAAAAAAAATTCTTATTGAATAAGGAATCTTACAAATGAGAAATTTGTTAAGCCTAGTACGAATATAATTCTCTTTTTTCAAATCTTTTTATGTAAAAAATAAAACAATCTGTCAACATTTTAGTTGTTAGATTATACTGCATTAATGAATATTAAGTTAAAAAAATAAAAAATTAATAAGGTAATATCGGTAGGTATTGAAATTACAGTTCATTGAAATTCTCATGTTCCAGAAAGCAATAACATCGTACAAAGGAAGGGGAGCGATCACTAGCTTGTAAGGAAAATGTCTGCAGTTTTAAAAAATGCATTTACCCTTATTAAGATGCTATTGTTTTGATTAAATTAATTTCAGGAAAGGTTTTCACGTAAATTCGTATTCCTTCTCTAATTAATTAACATATGTTCAATGATATTACAGTAATTTTATTACTTTTGCTCCATATTTATTAATTTTTTTAAAATATTAGCTATATTTTTACCATTAAGGATAAAACATAGATAACAGCATGCATATAACAATGGTATGATATGAATTTGTAGTTATTTTCTCGATTCAAATTAATTCGGGAGTGATATGGATAAAGTAGAGCAATTAGTATATTCGTTCTGATTTGTATATGAATGAAGAGCTTGACAAACCTGATTTGAATGTATATGTTTTAAAATCAAAATAAAATTTGCTAAAATACCATTAAATGAGACTTAAAAATGTATTTTAATCAGAATATATGGAAGATAAGTACAATACAAATAATTAATAAGCTCTAAAATGCATAGAAATAAAGAAAATCAAAGAATTAATTTGACAATAAATAAACGTACATTATTTTTACAATTATTTTCCTTATTAGTTTCATGATGATTAATACGATTTTCAAACTTTCGTTATAAAACAATAAAAGTGACATCGATTACTTTCTAAAAAAATGGAACACGTTCTCCTTTTCTTGAATGATATGCGCGAGAAAGCGCGTAGGAAAGGCGGAAACCTTTATGATATGTTTGAAGAATATGATCCAAAACAAACAGGTCTCATATCATTTACAAATTTCCGTAAATTACTCGCAAATATAAACCTCTTTGTCGATGATGAAAAATTCGAATTCATTACAACACCATACTCAGAGGGCACTAACTTCTACTATGCTGTGTTCCTCCATGATATGGAAGATGCAAAAGTCGATAAAACTAATAAAACAATCTCGATTGAAGAGCTTCGTCAATTCGGATCAACATTCCGTGATCAAGGAACTGATGTTGCAGGCTGTTTAAAGCTTTACGATCGTCATCATACTGGAAGAGTTGATCCTCAAGTATTCTTCAGATATGTAAGTAATACTCCACTCGCTCAAAAGATTGCTGCTGAATATATGAACTCAGCAACACGTGAAATTGAGTACATGAGACTAAATCAAGATATTCAAAACGCATTAGCTCAAAAACCACCATCAACACCACGCATTGATTCATCTCAGTTACCAGCATTCTTCCCAGATCTCGCAAAATGGATGAAATCTCAAGCAATCGACCCAGTTCAATTATTAATGCGCTATGATCGCTATAAACGCAGACAAATACCAACAGCACAATTCCTATCAGAAGTTGCAAACTGGGGTGTACCATTGAAGCCTCTACAATTAAATGAACTCGCTGCAGCTTTCGATTATCAAGGACAGTTCGATTATATGGCATTTGCTGACGAAATACAGAAAATACAAACCACACTTACTAAGCCTACATCAGCCAGAAAGCCAGTTATCGATCTAAATGAAATTCTTAATCGTCTTACAGAATTTATTCAAAACAGACGTCCAACACTTGTTGACCAGATCGAAGGCTTTGATATCAGACACAATGGAACAGTTCCTTCTCAAAGATTCTTCAGGGTTCTTACAAATTCCGGATTCAGCCTTACAAACGACGAATGCGGAGTTATTGAGAACGAATTTGGCGATATCAATGGTAATATCGATTATAACAGATTCTTCTCCCAAGTTATGCCGAAATCTGCTCCACAAGCTAACCCAGATGAGATTGTTATCCGTCTCAACAACTTCTTAAAGGCCAATAAAATGCAATTGAAGCCTCGCCTTGAGAGATTCGATAACACAAGAAGCGGAAGTGTTACATTTGCTCAAATGTCAGCCGCTTTCAGAGCAATCGGCTTCGATTTGACAGCACCTGAACAGTCAGCCTTGAAAGCTGCCTACGGACATGGTCCAGAAGGAATTGTTGATTATATCGATTTTTACGATCTTGTAGATCCGAAATTCGAGAAGCCAAAGGAAGAAAAACTCGAACCACTTCCAAGACACGATAGAAATGAAGATGCTTCGATCTCTTTGGCCGCAATGACGAAGATTGCCGCAATTTGTGACAGATATCAACACAACCTCAGTGGAGAGTTCCGCAAATACGACATGAAGAACAACGGCCTTATTTTGCCTGATGCTTTCCGTTGTGTTATCCAAAATCTTCCAATGAGGGTCGAAGACAACGAAACAGAAGTATTGACCAAATTCTATACTTCGGCCGGTGGATACGTTAGCTACGAACAATTCTGCCAGGATATGGTCGATTTCGGTTCAAAACGAATTATGCAGAACCCAAAGATCCAAACGGACCTTCTTGCACAGGAAAAGACCAATTCCCAGAACGTAGACCTCGTCCTCCACAAGCTGAAGATATTCCTGATGAATGGAAGAATTTCTCCTGATACAATTTTCCTTCCTTACGATGCTTCATCATCTGGTCTCATTCCTCGCAGCCGCCTTCAACCAATTCTTGAAGGAATTGGCTTCCCTGGCCTTCCTTCCGACTTCGCAGTTCTTGGAAAAGCATTTGCCGATCCAAGACTCCCAGAGAAGCTGAACTACAAGAAACTATGCCAGGAAATTAATGCTATTAACATTGATCAGAGAGAATTGGCTGAAACAAGGGTAGATAACCTTTCTGAAACTGTTGCTGATGCATCTACTTTGAGAATTAACTGTATGATCAGAGAAAAACTCGCTGAAAGACATAAGAGAGTCAGACAGCCATTCTCTGGTGTTACTTCTCAGTTAATGAGTCAAAGAGATTTTAGAAGATGCATTGAATCATATGGATTGGTTATCAAAGAGGCTGATATGCAGAACATTATGAGAGTTTATAAGAGAAATATGAATGGTGATATCGATTGGAACAGATTCTGCACTGATGTTGAAAATGCAAATGTTATTCATTAATTTGTGCGTGTACCACTCAATTTTTGATTATAATTGTATGGTTTACACGGGTATAATTTTTGGATAATCTTATTTTTTATATTTTTATATCTTCTTGATTGTAATAAAAGGATTTCATGAACTCATACTTTTTATTCAAGTCTCTGATTTCGATCTAATTTAAAATTATTTTTTTAAAAAAAACATATAAAGAATATGAATGCTCTAAATTCAACAAAAAGTAATTATTATTTAAATCATAGTATTTTTATTAAACATACAGTATTCGATATAAAAATCGGAAAATAAATTTGAAATTTGTAACTTCGAACATGAATAAATCTATCTGATTCTTTGCATTCATTGCAGAAGAAATAGAATTTATTGAATCAAGCGCCGAAAAACATTAAATGTAAAAATTAGATTAAAAATAAAATAAATAAATCACTTATACTAATAAGCAGCATTGAGAAGAAGGAATTACATTCATATCCGCTGATCCATTTGTTACTTTTTCGTTGATTTGTTTAACTTCTTCATTTTCTGAACCTTCAATAACAAGATGCATTTCATCTGAGCTCACATCAGGGAGAAGCATATATGGTTCGCTATCTTCATCCTCGCTGTGAGTCTCATTTTGCTCATTTTGAGACATGAAAAATAAAAACTTTTACAATTGTAAAGTATCAAATGCTTATGATTTTATTGAATTCGTGTATCAAGCGCTTAAGATATGAAGCGAAGAGATTATTACCAATAAAATCACAAACATGTGAGAGATCAAACGATTGATAAGACCTTTGATATATGTAATGATTTCAATTCATATTACACTCTAACTTAAATTTGAATTGGCATTTTCGTTTATTCAAGTCAGTTTAAATGAATGGATGTTTTATTATTTGTTTCCCTTTCCATTAATAAAATCAAAAATATATTTATTGAATCCTCGGAAAATTTTCCCATAATATCACCTAAAATTATATTTAATTTTTTAGTCACATTTTACTTCCTCAACCCATCAAAAAATATCTGACATTTATTTTGTGACGTTGGATCATTGAATTTTCCCTTATGAAGTCAGTAAACCATTCAAAATTGAATATTTTACAATATGACGCAGCTACGATGCCAGCTCATAAAGTTCCCCTATTAACAATATTTTTGTCAATTTTTTTTTGATGTATTGTTGATAATTCATATAAGATTAAATTAATTGAGTGAGTATTCAAATAGTGGAAAAACATTACAATCTGTTTCAGCCGCAACAACAAGTGTTGTTATATCTGCTGCATGCACAGTTATTTATGGTTATGATAAAGAAAATTATTGTTTCAAACCTGCAATCAATTCTCTTGAATCATTCTCATTTGAAGATAATCCACAACTGTATTATATCAACAATTATGCATTCTATCAATGCTCAAAATTACAAGCTGTCGATCTTTCTAAATGTAGCAAGCTACAAATTATTGGGAGTTATGCTTTCTGTCAATGCACATCAGTCACAACAGTTCTTCTTCCAGAAGGACTAAAAACAATTTCATCAAATGCATTCAACTCTTTGAAACTGAGTTCGATCAATATTCCATCCACAGTTACAAAAATGGGAGATTTCGCAATTTCTTCTATGCCATCATTGACATCAATAACTTTCTCAAAAGGATCTCGACTTTCTTCGCTAGATTTTAATGTATTTATATGGAACAGTTTATTAGAATTTATAATACCTGAAAGTGTTTCTACACTTTCAGGTGTTGCATTCAGTGGAAGCGCGAATATGAAAAATATTCATGTTGATCCAATGAATCAGTATCTATGGGATAACACAAAAGCAGTTTATAATAAAGACAAGACCATCATTTATTATTGTGCTTCTGCATGTGATGAAAGTTACACAATTCTTGATACAGTTACAACAATAAATCAAGGCTGTTTCATTAATTCAAAGCTTAAAAATATTATTATTCCTCCATCCGTGGTTAGTATTAGTTCATATGCATTCTATTATTGTAGTAATCTTAAACAAATTAATCTTCCTCCAAATATCACCATTTTACGAGGTGGTGCATTTCAAGGAAGTGGTCTAACTTCAATTGAAATTCCTAATCAAGTAAAAATACTTGAAGATGAAGTCTTTTCTAAGTGTGATAATTTAAGAAATATTGTTCTTCCTGAAAATATTACTGATATTGGAGGAAGTGCATTTCCAGATATTCCAGATCTTAATTTAACAATATCTAGTAAATCTTTATATATAGATAAACAACTAATAATATATTCAAATAATAATAAAACAATTTCACAATTCTTAGGTCAAGACTATGATATCATAATTCCATACACAATAACCAGAATTAAGGCGCGGGCTTTTTCTAACAAAATCAAGATTAGTTCAGTGACATTCGATGGAGACTCACAGTTACAATATATTGAATATGCCGCTTTCAGCGGATGTACTAATCTATCTAAATTTTCATTTGGAAAACATATTATTGAAATCGATACGAATGCTTTTGAAAACACAATTCTCAATTCAGCAATTGCTTTCCCTTCATCTTTAACAAAAATTTCAAATTCAGCCTTCATGAATTGTAAAAAGATTCCGTCGATATCATTCTCATCATCATCGAGCTTACAGATTTTTGATAGTGCATTTGAGAATTGTATATCTATCTCATCGATAATATTTATCACCAATCCAGAAACAACATTAGGTGCATCATGTTTCAGCAACTTGAAATCTTTGAACAGCATCCAGATTTCAAACAACATCAAATCAGTTGGAAGTGCATGTTTTTCTAACAGCGGTCTTAGTCGTGTTGACTTTTCTAACAACAATATATCATTTGATTCACTCTCACCATCTATATTCAGAGGCTGTATCAACATCCGATCTTTCACAATTCCATCTAACTGCATCACCATTGGGACTAGTGCACTTTCAGGCACATCTATTGAACATCTCGACATTCCAGACAGCGTCGAAACATTTGATGGTTATTGCTTCTCATTCTGCACAAATCTTGTCTCTATCAACATCAAAAACAGCAGTCACCTTCAAAACATCCGTCTTGGTGTATTCCAAGGATGCACCAACTTCGCTACAATCAACGAGTTTGTCTCATCCAACTTTGTTTGCGAGAGTGGTGCTCTGTACAGCAGTGATCACAGCCGTATGCATGTATATCCTCCTGCATCAACACGTAGCTACTTCTATCTTCTTGAGGGTGTTGTTTCTATCGAAGACAGTGCATTCATCGGTTGCACACATCTTCAATCAGTTCTTCTTCCAGAGAAAAGTCTTGTCAAAATTGGACAGAGTTCATTCGAAGGATGCATCAATCTTTGTCACATCACAATTCCATCCAGCATTATCTCTATTGGTGAGAATGCATTCCTTAACTGTCACAGTCTTAACTGCGGTGCACTCATTCAGAACAAAGAAAGCAAGACATTCATCCGACTTCTTAAGCAGAGTGGTCTTGACATTTCACAATCTCTATACTGCTCCGACTTTTCATGCAAAGCTAACATTCACTCTAATTTTCATCTTATCATCACCGAAATTGCTGTTATGATTTTAATGTGAAAATAAACAATTATTTTTTTAATTATTTCTGAACAAGTGGTAATTATAGCTTATCAACAAGATATTATGGCTATTCTTCTAAAAAAAATTATCATTTTCGTCTGACGAAAATGATAATTTTGTCACTTTTCTAGACGAAAATAATAATCCTTATATCTGAAAACTAAGTCAAATTTGTTATCAATAAATGATGGATTAAAGTAACTGTATCAGAACAAAGAGAATCTTCTTGAAGACAATCTCTTTCAATATGGTACAAAAATGTTAATGTATTCAACAAATTGTTCATTTGGAATTGAATTTCTAAATGTTATGGAATTATTTGTATATAATTATATTATCTTTTCGTAAATCAAAGTCGATGGTAATAGGTCTGATTTGGCTTTCTAGTTGGTCCTTAAACTATTTACTATGTTTAGGAGGTATTGAAGGTTGATCAGAAAATAAATGAGAAAAAGTAATATTTGGGATGTGAATAGAATCTTTTTTATTTCTGATTTTAATTTCACATAAAAATGAAGAATATAAATTAGGAAGAATGATTTCTGTCATTGACATTGAACTCAGAATAATATCTCCATTTGTTGGAAAAGTATTATCTTCAAAATGGCATTCGTTTGCAGTAGGTGATCCTGACCAAATATTAAATAATTTAGAAGCATTGTTTCCTTTGAAGAAACATTGACTTACTGAAAGTGTAGCAGAATCAGAAAGATAGAAAATTCCACCACTTGAAACTTTGTTATCAATAACATTACAAAAATAGAAATCTTGTGTTTTAGATCTATGACAAAAACAACATTGTTCATTTGATGAAATATTATCGAAATTACTAAATTCTGTTGTTGAAAGAGAAGATGATCTAAAAATATGAAATGCTGCATTATTACCTAGTTTTGAATCAGAGATATTTATTGATGAAAATAGATGAAATCCACAAGCATGACCTAAAACCGATTGAAATCCTGTATTTTGAGTGAATGATGATTCAATAACAAAATTCTTGTGGCTATCATCACTTGTCACCCAAATACATGAATGAGATCCTAGTCCAGGAGATTTATTTTGTGTCTTAGATTCATAACTACAGACTTTGTATTGAACAAATGATCCTTTTGATTCCATATATATGGATCCTCCACTACTTGTAGAGGAACAGTTAAAAAAAGAAGAAGTTGAAACAAGAACTTTTGTGTGATCATTTGGATTAGAGATTCGAATGACACCTTGTTGGCTAAAATTTTCGAAAAAAACGTAACCAACAAAGACGTTGCTGTTTTCAGTGACTGTTCGACTTGTATTAACATGTGTGTCAATAGATGGATCATAGAAATCTTCCCATGTATAGTTTGAAGGTTCTGAGAAATGAAAGCATGAATCTCTTCTTCTTTGCCCGAAATTCTCCTCTTTTTCTTCTTCAAACAAATATAATTTTCAATAGTTTGCAAAAAAAAAACTTATTTCGCTATGAATATATTGTCTTGTACAAGTTAATATCATATATTAGAATTTGTTCTCAAAAATAAGCTTGAAGAAGGAAAATCAAACCTTGTTAAACGGTGGGGACGACGCGACAATATTTGGGACAATCTTGGTGAAAACAACGATTTACGCCTTGTTCAAGAGACAGAACAGTGGGATAGTGAAGTTGAAAAAAAGAAGAAAGCATTATTAAACGCATCACGAGGTTTAATTCGATCATTAGTATTAATTTTAGATTTATCAACAAACGGATTAGAAATGCGTCTATTTAATCAAAACCGAATGAAGTTAATTCAAGATCAAACAATTGACTTCATTAATGACTTTTTTGTACAAAATCCATTATCCCAACTCTCAATTCTAGCAACATATGAATCTACATGCCGCATTTTAACACCTCTTTCCTGCAATGTTCAAGATCACGTCAAAAAAATCAAAAGTTTATCATTAGAAGACCATGGTGGTGAACCATCTCTTGAAAGCTCACTCTCTATTGCTACAGCAATTCTCGGAAATGGTGAAAAGAACCCTGGTCTTGCGCAAATCTCAACAACCAAAGAAGTTCTAATTGTTTACGGCTCACTAACTACATGTGATAACTCCCCGATCTACAAAACTCTCAATTTAGTCAGAGATTCCAAAATTAAAGTATCAATCATCGGTCTCGGCGCAAAAGTCTTTGTTCTTCTAAATTCACAGTTATTCCAGATTATTACCTTCGTGAAGCAAAACAGAGCAACGCAGAAATTGTTCAAACTCTCTTTGATCATAAAGTTCCAATGAAAACCGAACATAGCAGCAACCTCAAAAATGCATTATTTTGGTCAGCTGTTCGAGGAAACCAAGAAATCATTCATCTTTTACTTGAACATGGTTATAAAAAGCTTTCACTTAATGATGAAGACATTACGACATATCATATTCAACCATATTTTGTTCAATTAATTAGTAAATAGAATATAATATTAAAGTACATTTTTGAGCATAACCATGTTATTCCAAAAAAATTATGGAATATTAAAATATAATAATGCAAATACATGTTAATATTCATTTTTCAATATTGATTCTCATTTGATGATTTAAAGATCAAAAGTTTTAACGATGTTGTTATTCCTCCACAACTTGAACTGTTAGTTCAGGCACAGGATCCTTGTTTTAACTTAAACGAAGAAAGGATCTTCGAAATACAAGACGATGATTGATCCTTCGAAATACAAGACGATGATTAGCAAGTTAGAAAAAGATAAATACAGTTAAAAAACCTTAAACATTTAATTTGTGAAAAAAAATTATTAATTTTCGTATTTCTTTGATAATTCTTCGAGTTGATCGCATATCCAGTCGATATCATCGGAAGAAAGACCTTGGTGAAGACCAATAAGAATTCCACCGGCGAAAACCTTTTCTGTGTTCACGAAAGTTGCTGGATCGATATTCGGGAACATTTTAGCGTAGAAAGGCTGTCTTAGGATATTTCCAGCCATGCAGAGTCTTGTTTGAATTCCTCTGGCCTCTAATTGCTCGACAATCTCGTATCTGTGAGATTTGCAGATTAAAGCCATGGAAAGCCAAAGAGCTTCATGGTTTAGAGGTAGCTCGTAGAATGTGCTGTTTCCAAGCCTCATCCAGTAGTGTTCGAAGTTTTGCATTCTGCATTCCTTGAATTGTTCGAATCTGAGAGAGTTCTTGTAGCCAAACTCCGCGCAATAGTAAGGAGCTGTAAAATCAAGTGAATCGTTTCTCATTTTGAGTAATTTCTGATAATCGTCGTAATTATTTGTGAAAACCATGCCTCCGCAGCCACCAGCGCTAATAACATGGGATGCATAGAAGGAAACAGTTGCAAATTCGGCATCACATGTTGTAATTGTATCACAAGCGTCTTCAATTAAAATTACATGCTTGTATTGCTCTCCGAGTGCTTTTCTCAATCCAATGAAGTCGAATTTATCACCAACAAGGTCTGGAATTAATACAGCTTTTGTCTTTGGAGTAACTTTTTCCATAACTTGCTGAATTGATGGAACATATCTTCCTGCATCAATATCACAGAATATTGGTGTTGCACCCAAGAAAATTATAGGTGAAACAGTTGTTGGAAATGTGCAGGCAGGTGTAATTACTTCATCGCCTGGTTTAAAATCGGCACACATGCAAGCAATCAAGTTTGCAGAACTTCCTGAGTTTACAAAGACACCATACTTTGCATTAAAAAGTTCGGAAACACGTTTTTCGAATTTTTCGATAATTTTTTGTTGTTCTTCAGGTGTTGCTTTGAGGATTTCGGTTACAGCTCTGATTTCTGGCTCTCCATATGACTGAAACATATTTGGAGAGTAATACATCTTTTTCTGAGTTGCTGACATTTTGAATTTGTCACTTTTCAATTCACACCAATTTCTCCAAAATAATTTCAAGCTTCAAGGACAGTATAATACGATTTTCATTCTTATGTGAATATATTTTGTCATGCCAAAATGATGATAACATGCTTTCTTTATGAAATCAAATCTCTATTAATGGAATTTAATGATACTTATTAAATGTGATGCAATCACATAAGCATATTTTGGAGTTTTCTCACTAATATGCATATGTATTTCTATTTGTGAATTATCATTTTTCAAATTCATGTTCAGCAATCAAGACTCTTTCAATAACATTTCAAATCAATTACATTACATCTAATGTCATAATAATACTTCGAAAATGAATCCATATTCATATCAAATTTTGTTTTCTTCATCGATTCTTTTATTAGTATGTACAAACTGGAATTTAGATTGCAAATACAGTATAGACAATAACTCAAATACCCTTGCATAGCTTATTCCTATTATCAAAATTATATTTTTCAATTTTCCATTTAATGATCCAATATTAACATAACTTTCATATAAAAGTAATGTAAAGTTATTGATTGTATTTTAAGTTGTTGTACAACACTTAATTTTTTGTATATTTTTTTTAATTTCTATTTAAGTAAAACATTCAGTAGATAATGCTAAAATACAAAATTAATTTAAATGATTACGCTGATTTCTTTCTGCGCTTTGGTGTTTCTTTCATCTTTTCCTTTTCAGGTTTTTCTTCTTCTTCCTCTTCTTCCTTTTCTTCATTTTCATCTTCATCCTCATCATCAGAAACATCATTAAGACCAGTGTCAGAAATTTCTATGTCATCATCATCCGAAGATACTGGTGCGAAAAGTGGAATATCATCACTTTCTGGTTTTATATCATTAACTTCTATTGGCGGTGGTTTTGGAAGAACTAATGATGCATATATCTGATCTGGTCGTTGGATCTCTGACTGAGAACAGCAAAGTCCCATATTTCTGTTTATTGTCACTTTTAGAAATTATCTCTTTGTTTATTTGCAACTCGCTTGCTGTCGTTTTATTGCTCCATTTCAATATGATCATGAAGTATGAACAGTTTAATGCACATTACCTAATTACAGCAGCCTTGAAAACTATAGTTTATTTGGAATTCGGTAATAAGACATAATTTCTTTGTTAACTCAAAATTGAATAGTTTACATAATTTTTCATCCATCTCAGTGATTTTTGACATTTTATCTAAACTTTGAGTCAATTCATTCTAATTTTCTTATGTAACTGCATCAAAGCACCCATAAATTTGATATTAGCATTTAAATTCTGATTTATTATGATTTTTGTTTCCTTATTAAAGTTTATAGAGAATAATATATATTCATAACCCAAACTTAAGCTTAATGTATCAATACAAACTATAAAAAAGTTTGAAAAAAACTAATTTTAATATTTTTATAACTTTATTCAAAAAGTCCAGAAAGGGAATCAACCTCTGGAATGTTTTTGGATGAAAGCTCAACTTGAAGTGATTGTAACTCGATCAAAGACTTAGCAGAAAATTGAACAGATTTTTCATGCAATTTAACCATTAATTTGCAGAATAAACGAATCTTTGGCTTCAATACATTAACATCTTTTATTGATGTCAATGATCCAACCTGTTTAACAATATATTTTTCTAAGAAATTTTGTGGCGGCGTCATTTTTGTTAAAATATGCTTGACACCAACACAAATAGCTTCAGATATATCCTGATCAATAAATCTATCATAAATTTTCGGGTCTTTTCTCGATAATTCGGCCAACATAACACCTCCTATTCTTGGATTAACTTCCATCATCCTTTCTGCATCTTCAACTTTATAGTTTGTATTATTAAAATAGGGTTTATCTTCAGACATCTGTTCTATAACGCAATCTTCTTGCCATTCTGTTAATTGCTTCTCTTTAGCTACATCCATCAGTGATTTAGCTGCTGTAGATTTATTAATAGATAGTTCTTCATCAAATAGATATTGTTTTTGCGATAAACTGATAATTGTCGAAAATTGTAACTCATCTGATGAAATTGGTGATAAATCTGGTATTGTTCGCATGAAAGGAACTTCAAAATCTGACCAAAGAGATGGCTCAACGAGTAATTCTTTTAATAATTGGTGTTGCGTAATTTGTTGTACTTTTGCATCGGCTTTTGCTACAATAATTGAGGAAGTACGAGTAAGAGTCTGCAAAGGAGTACCTACGAGATCTGGAGTGCTTGAAGATTCCATTGAAAAGTTTGATTCTAAAATTTCACTGGCAGTATGTTCTCCGATATCATCCATTTCGCTTGATGATAAAATACCTCCGATAATATCGCCGAGTTTTGGTGAAAATAATGGGGAATTCGTTTGAATAGAGTGAAATACTGTTCTAAGTACATAACTAAGTGGGTTAATGGCCATTGATATATCTTCGAATGCTTTGTAAATAAGCCATACAACAATAATTTGTTGTGATGGTTCAAAAATTCCGTCCATTAAAAGATTTGATAAAATTGTTAGTATAGCCAATGGATTTTTATCATTAAATTTCGATGTAAACGAATCAGATAGTTTGCATAGCTGCTCGCTATCATTTGATATTATTGAAATTATCTGTTCCGCATCATCTTTTGATATCATTCTAAACTTTTTTTTCTAGACTCGACTTCTTTAGAGTGTAAAAATTTTTTATTAGTTTTATATCAATTTCGTTCTGTATTTAAATATAGCTAATTTTCCAAACATAATCACTCAACAAATCCTTTTAGCAATAAATTTTGGATTTAGTTTTCAATATGAAAAACTAACTATACATCATCTTAAGATTATCATTTATCAATAACGAAGATTACTGAGGTTATTCAAAATTTTTTTAGGAATGAATCTTATTTCAAGGAGGTTGAGGGATTTTTTTAGACTTTACCTTGAAATCAGAATTCGCCTGAAAAAGTCTAATGTTGTTTACAAGGTTATTTCGACAGTCTTCGTTTTTATTCAGATGTCTGCAATTGCATTATTATCTGGACAACCTACAAACCTAATGGGTATTGATATGGTTCAAGAACCAAAACAAGGCTTCCTAAATTTCCTTCTTTTCATTCCATGGTACTTTGATGTGAAATATGCATGTTTTGATTCCGTTTTTGTCCTAATGATACAACTCATTTGGCTAACAATTACATTAAATGCCTACAAGAGGTTGAAAAATCGTAAAACATTACGTACATATCACTTAGTCGCGATTGTAGTTTTACAACAATCCTTAGTTAACATTTTTTCAATCCCGCTCTACTTCAGAATCGCTTTAAATGTAGATTGTATATTAAATCACTACCAGCATATCTACATAATTTCCTTAGTTATCAGTTCAATTTCAACACTTTTTAATCTATTCATTGCTTTTGTTCATTCAGTGTTCCTTGAACCATTTGACTTGGTAGAGAGAAGTTCTTTCGATCTTTACGATGGAAAAAACAGATTAGTTTTTCATATAATCAATTTATTTAACGTTTTCATGAGTTTTTACCTTCCATACGTTACATCAGAAGTACAGAAATGCATATTCTATTTCCTTTTACTCTCACTTTCAATCTTCGACCTTTATATTCGAGTTTTACCTTTTACTTACGTTTCATGGCTCGTTAAATACATCCAGAACGCAATCAACTTTGTCATACCATTCTGCATCACGGCGAGGATCCTTTTGAATCTCAGTTTCTTCTTTACATGTCTTGTTTATTTCGCTTGTTTGATATTGTATGCCATCATTTTCTGGGTCGCTCATTTCTTCTTGAACCAGAAGGCTTCACATTTACTCACAAATTTCGCAACAAATGGAGGTATTGACCAAATTTTCTTTGGATCTTTCTTTACACCGTTCAACTTCGTTTCTTTGCTGCGCAAAATCTCGAAGATGAACCCAAGCCCAGAAATATTCCAGTCTCTCATGCAAATGCAGTCTTCAATCAACCGTCGTGGCTCAAATTTGATTGAAATATGTAGATTCTTGGGATTATTCCCTTCAAGACGTAATGAAATGATTGCTGAAATCGATAGGACTGATTCTAACTCACTTCACAACCAATTTATTTTATATTGTATAAGAGAAAGGTTAAACTCACTTATTTTGGTATCATCACCCGAAGAAAGGCGTAGTTTAGGCAGATTCAGATTCCAATATGTTGAAACAATGAAGAGATACTGGGAATCTCGAAGAGATCAGAAACATTTCAGGAGTTTTATCGAATTAATCAACGGATACGTGTTAGGTTTGGAGTTATTAAGTGAAGCGCCAGCACTATTAAGAAGATTCCCATTCGATTCGAGCGTCAGAAGGCTCTATATCGAATGTTTGTATCTGACGGGTGGAGATTCAATGGAAATTCAGAACCAACAGAATATTTTGAATGAGCTCTCAGAAACACCGCCCAACATTACAGATCCTATTTTACATTCAGCAATTCGATATCACCCACATGTTATGAGCTATTTAAGTGCAGAAGAATTGCAAAGATGTTCAAGTTCCACACAAATGAGGTCAAAGAAAGCTCCAAAGATGGAAAGACCCGCATGGTCGTACTTAGCCAACCTCAGGTCGAACTATATTCCTGGAGTTGTTGCGATGTACGCATTACCTTTGATTGCATTATTTATTTTGTCATTGAGAATTGTTTTTAGAGAAATGGATGCATCGAAACTCTCATTTAGAATCGATAACCTAACAACCGATGTAGTTTTCGACTTCTCATTCGCAAGTGCATCAATGTTTATTCAATTCTCCATCAATGACACATTTACATCCGGTAATTTCTCATTATCTCAGTCCACAAACGAGAGTGAATGTCAAATTGTCTTGTTTGACTGCGTTTTGCACTTAACGACGTATTATTCTTATCTTGGCCAGATCAGAGGTATTGTTACGTTCATGGTTCCTGTTGTTACAACGTTCTTCCACAACATATTGAACAACACGAACACTTATTGTTCAGTTCTTCACAAGTTCACTGAATTTCCACGAAATTACAGTTTGTATTCATTTGATTCTCCTACGAGTGCATTATCTAACACGTGGAATGTCCTTGAAGAACAGCAGCGACTCTTTACAAACCATTATATTTTGTACGAGTTCTTAGTTGTTTTCTTCGGTCTTATTTTCATTGGTGTTTCTCTTTTCAGTTTGAACATTTATATCAAAGCAAATCGTATGCTTAAACATTATAAACATTATTTCGACTATTTGGCATCGGATGAACGATATCAGTTATTCATGGAAGGTCGTGGTGAAGAAGCGTGGGAATTAATTCGAACATACATCCCAGTTTCATCATCGGATGATCCATCTAATGCACAAATTCCTCCTATGCAACTTCCTTCACAAAACACAGTTTTACAACCACAAAATCTTCCAAATGTCCATACAACGACACCTATTTTACCTCCTAAAGTCAAGATCGAACCAGAAGTCACACAAGAATTACAACATTCAGATACAGATGGAGAAGAATTGAGTGATTTGGTTAGAATCGAACCAAATGATAATGAAATTGATCCATTGTCAGCTCCTCTTAAACGATCACGTGGATATTTCTTTGTATTTGGTTCTGCATGTATTATGTGGCTTTCTATTTTTGTTGTTGTTGTTTTCATTGGCATTGCACATTGGACACGCATGAAGACATTGTATGATCGATCAAAAGACTTGATGCTGACATTTTCTCTCACTAGAACATCATTAATTTTGCAGAATGAGATTTGCAAAGCAATTTTAGGAGAAAATTATAATTCTTCTTTAATTTTAGAACTCAGTAACACTATTGAACAGTCCAATCACACAATCACTAGTTTCTACAAAGATAACATCACAGATCACGAAGGAAATGTCATCGGAACACTTAAAAACTTTGTTCATTTAGTTACAGACAACATCAACAAATATTCTACATCATTTTGGTGTCTCACATTTCTTCCTCAGTTCTTCGAATTCACACGTGAATGTACATTACACGCTTATGAATTTGAACGAGGTTCTATCATCTCAGTTAAAGATTCTAACATCGCATCATTCATTGCTGACATTGTTTTGTTCATTTTAATATCTCTTGCTCTTTCTATTTACGCATCTGCTTTATCAGCACAGATTCTTTCTAAGATGTTCCCATTCCCAACATCACTTATTGAGTTGTCTAGTTCCATTTCCAAGGAATCACATAATGACGAAGAAGACCATCTTCCTGACAACGCATTAATTGTCCGAAGTGTTTCAGAGACAGGCCAGATATACTCTGTTTCACAGAACAGCTCAATCCTTCTTGGAAAGAGATCTGACACACTCATTGACATTCCTTTCAGCGAAGTATTCAGTCGTGAAGACGGACAAGTTCCTCTTGTCAGCACAGTTGACAAGAAACAAGACAAGCGAACATTCATGATCCAACGAACAACTGTTGGTCGAATTGTTCTTAGTGTTTTAGTTGATGATTCTACACGTGTTATGTCAGGCAACACTAAAGAATCAACTCCAACAACACAGTTAGTTGGATACGTTCCTATCTACTTTGCAGAGCGATTTGCATCAGAGAACTCTAGTAAGATGCCAATCGAATGTTGCTACTATCTTTTCATGCGTCACAATGTCACAGACCAGAAATCAATCGAACGATTCTATGGCAACTTCTCTATGATGGTCAGCCACTTCTCTAAGTTGCGATGCATCCACATGGATGGTTCTATCATCACATGCGTCCTTACTAAAGACTTGAATGTCGAAGAGATTGTTCTTATTGCACGCGAAGTTATTTCTAAGATCGGTGACCAACTTTTCTGCATGAGTTTGCGATACATCGAATATACAGATTTCGAACTTGTTGTTGATGTCGAACCATACATCCAGTCACTCACACCATTCTTCAGTGAATGCGAAGATTCACTTTACGAACAGCCACAAGACACTATCTCATTTTCTCACGAACTTAACTCTACCAAATGGGCTAAATCAGAAGAATACGGTGACCTTGAGATCATGAACATGAGCTCATTCTGGATTTCATCTATCAAAGTCCTTTCTAACTAATCATAATAAACAATGTTTGTATAAATATTTTTCAAACCTTGTATTATTTTTTTTCGTGTTATATTTGGGTCACTTTTAGTTGTATTTTGTTGTAGTGATGCCCAAGTAAGATATATTGACTGCTCGTCAAAGATCCAATTTTTCTGAGTTCTTTTATTATGCTAAATTTGGCAATAGTCAGCATTCTCAGTCTAATCATTAGGGATGAAATCTCAAATTTGAGCATTTAACTGCTCAAGGCGAATACTAGTGAAAAAAATTCTCAGCTCAAAGTGCTTACAGTTATTTGCAGAGTAGTTAATGATACTTCTCAAAATAGTGTAACACTTTCATTAAATCAATGTTTCTTCAAAAGAAATACAGCTCCCAGTCTATTTTGTATTGAGTCATGTAGTGTTTTTCAGTCGGAATAAAATAACTTGCTTTTATTTATTTTGGAGGAATAGAAGGTTCATCAGGTGGTTATCTATATAGAATAATATATTATTTTTGATAGTAAACTATGACTGATTTCTAATTTTGGAATATATACTTCTTTTCTATATCTTTGAAAAATAGTTATATGATTTTGCTGTATAATTGATATATTTTAGTAGAAAAATTATAGAATAACAAAAATAAAAAGGTTTTATCGATTTATAACACAGTGAAAATGATTTATTTCTCTCTAAATTATAAATTTTCAAAAAAATTAACCTCATTTTTCCAAAAAAATCGAAAATTAAAAAACCATTATCATTTTCTAAAATGGAAAAGATTTGGAGAAATTCACCAAAGAGAACTTCATTCTAGGTGTCCAAAGAAATTGCTATCAGTCAAAAAAACCTCGAAAATTTTAAATATTGATATCGATTTTCATCAATCACTTAAAATCGATTGTTTGCAGTCGATGTTATCACATATTATTAAATTCTAATATACTTGAACATACTACAAATCATTTTTGAAACTTATCAACATTTCGCGCAATTTAACAATACTCCAACTCTCATACACAGTTCCCATTACCACAATCTCATTTTAAGAAGAAATGATTAATAAAATCTAAGATCTAACGATTTATTTACCCAATTCGAATAATAATTTTAATTATAAATCCTTATTTGTGCATGTTTTATATACAGATGTAGAAAGAAAAACGAATAAAGTGTTACTTCAAAAAATACATGAAAGCACCCTAATTTTGCTCGTCTTGAGCCGTATTTTTCATTTAATTTTCATAAAACAATAAAACACATGCGTTATCAAGTAAAATATGGATATTTTAGAAGATCATAATATATATCGAAATCAAACGAAAGCCATTCTATGAGTCCATACACACTGTTACTATACTTCATATGTCGATACATTTGTTGTTGACAAAGTTCCCCCTTTTTCCAGGGTGGCTAAAAAAACGCTGGCTATAGCCATCCACCCCAAAAAAAGCCAAGATTTTAACTTTTTTTACCGTTTTTTTTGCAATTTTTTAAAGCTGCGCTTACGCCCATCTGACTTTAATTCAAATTTTTGACAACTTGTGTGAAGCATAATTGAAAATTAACCTTAAACATCTGAATTGAAAGTGGTGTCATAGGGCGTAAGTGCACCATTAATTTTAATTTTAAAAAGAACGAAAATGCATTCAAAATTAATGTTCTGAAGGAATCGTCCGAAGGCTAATGTTGCTGTGGATTTTATGAATCATATCAAAGAAAGTCTTCAAAGACTTTGACGATTTCAATTAACTTTATATATATAAACTACTTGAGAGAGTCTTTGAAGACTTTCTTTTTCAATCAGATATTGATTGAAGACTAAGTTCCTCATCTGATGTACTCGTACAGATATTGTACTGCCAGATACTGGAACGAATGAGTTTGAACAAAAAATAGGTATTTTGTTTTCTTATTGTTACAGAGATCCATTTAATATTCTCACAAAAACAATACAAAATTATTGGGACTAAGGTCTAGATTGGAAAGAATATTTTCAGAATATGTTGAAAAACGATTATTGATTCCCTGAGATATGTGATCACTTTAAATTCGTGTATTATTATGAGCTGTTTATTCTTAAATAATAACATCGTTATTATGTCTTAAATGTTTAAACATTTGTAGCACCATGTTCAATTAAGAATTTGATAATATTTGTTGCTTTAATTTTGATTGCAATACTAAGAGGGCATTCATTAATATCGAGTGAATTTCGTAAAATAATGATAAATATTTAAAGAAAAAGAATTCCATAAAACAATGATAGATTTTTAAAGAAAGAGAATTACATAAAATAACGATAAATATGAAAAGAAAGAGAATTTTATAAAGTAATAATTAACATGAAAAGAGAGAGAATGTTATAAAACAATGATAAATATGAAAAGAAAGATGATTTCATAAAACATTGATAAATATGAAAAGAAAGAGAATGTAATAAAACATTGATAAATATGAAGAGAAAGAGAATGTCATAAAACAATGATAAATATTAAAAGAAAGAGAATGTCATAAAACAATGATAAATATGAAAAGAAATAGAATGCCATAAAACAATGATAAACATGAATAAAAAGAGAATGCCATAAAACATCGATTAACATGAATAAAAAGAGAACTATATAAAACAATGATAAATATAAAAAGAAAGTGAATTGGATAAAACAATGATAAATATGAAAAGAAAAAGAATTTTATAAATCAATGATAAATATGAAAAGAAAAAGAATACCATAAAACAATGATAAATATTAAAAGAAAAAGAATTTCATAAAACAATGATAAATATGAAATGAAAGAGAATGTCATAAAACATTGATAAATATGAATAAAAAGAGAATTATATAAAACAATGATAAATATAAAAAGAAAGATAATGCAATAAAACAACGATAAATATGAAGAGAAAGAGAATTAAATAAAACAATGATAAATATGATTACAAAGAGAATCCATTAAAACAATGATAAATATGAGGAGAAAGAAAATGCGATAAAACAATGATAAATATGAAATGAAAGAGAATGCCATAAAACATTGGTAAATATTAAAAGAAAAAGAATGCTATCAGACAATAATAAATATGAAAAGAAAGAGAATGTAATAAAACATTGATAAATATGAAGAGAAAGAGAATGTCATAAAACAATGATAAATATGAAATGAAAGAGAATAAGTTTCATGTTAACATCTGCTCCATGCTCAACTAGGAATTGGACAATTTCTATTGAATTCGAATTGATTGCAATACTAAGAGGACATTCATTAATATCGATAGAATTTTATAAAACATTGATAAATATGATAACAAAGAGAATGAAATAAAAGATTGATAAATATGAAAAGAAAGAGAATGCCATAAAACAATGATAAATATGAAAAGAAAGAGAATGTAATAAAACATTGATAAATATGAAAAGAAAGAGAATGTCATAAAACAATGAAAAACATGAAATGAAAGAGAATAAGTTTCATGTTAACATCTGCTCCATGCTCAACTAGGAATTGGACAATTTCTATTGAATTCGAATTGATTGCAATACTAAGAGGACATTCATTAATATCGATAGAATTTTATAAAACATTGATAAATATGATAACAAAGAGAATGAAATAAAAGATTGATAAATATGAAAAGAAAGAGAATTTTACAAAATAATGATTGATATAAAAAGAAGCAGAATTTTATAAAACAATGATAAATATGATTACAAAGAGAATCCATTAAAACAATGATAAATATGAAAAGAAAGAAAATGTCATAAAACATTGATAAATATGAAATGAAAGAGAATTTCATAAAACAACGATAAATATAAATAGAAGCAGAATTTTATAAAACAATGATAAATATGATAACAAAAAGAATCCATTAAAGCAATGATAAATATGAAAAGAAAAAGAATGCCATAAAACAATGATAAATATGATAACAAAAAGAATCCATTAAAGCAATGATAAATATGAAAAGAAATAGAATGCCATAAAGCAATGTTAAATATGAAAAGAAATAGAATATCATAAAACAACGACAAATATGAAAAGAAAGAGAATTCTATCGAACAATGGGAAATATGAAAAGAAATAGAATGCCATAAAGCAATGTTAAATATGAAAAGAAATAGAATTCTATCGAACAATGGGAAATATGAAAAGAAAGAGAATTAAATAAAACAATGATAAATATGATTACAAAGAGAATCCATTAAAACATTGATAAATATGAAAAGAAAGAGAATGCCATAAAACAATGATAAATATGAGGAGAAAGAAAATGCGATAAAACAATGATAAATATGAAATGAAAGAGAATGCCATAAAACATTGGTAAATATTAAAAGAAAAAGAATGCTATCAGACAATAATAAATATGAAAAGAAAGAGAATGTAATAAAACATTGATAAATATGAAAAGAAAGAGAATGTCATAAAACAATGAAAAACATGAAATGAAAGAGAATAAGTTTCATGTTAACATCTGCTCCATGCTCAACTAGGAATTGGACAATTTCTATTGAATTCGAATTGATTGCAATACTAAGAGGACATTCATTAATATCGATAGAATTTTATAAAACATTGATAAATATGATAACAAAGAGAATGAAATAAAAGATTGATAAATATGAAAAGAAAGAGAATTACATAAAATAATGATTGATATAAAAAGAAGCAGAATTTTATAAAATAATGATAAATATGAAAAGAAAGAGAATGTAATAAAACAATGTTAAATATGAATAGAAAGAGAATGTGAAAAAAAATTGATAAATATGAAAAGAAAGAGAATCCATTAAAACAATGATAAATATGAATAGAAAGAGAATTTCATAAAACAATGTTAAATATGAAAAGAAATAGAATTTTATCAAATAATGATAAATATGAAAAGAAAGAGATTGTCATAAAATAATGATAAATATGAAAAGAAAGAGAATGCTATAAAACAATGATAAATATGATTACAAAGAGAATCCATTAAAACAATGATAAATATGAGGAGAAAGAGAATATCATAAAACA